AGTCTTTGCAAGGCTGCAGAGGCCAATGGTGCGAATCCCAATCGCATCCGCAGGCGGCATTCGGTCATGACTCCGATCTCAGGTAAGAATTGCTTAGGCTCTGTGTTTCCAGTCCTTGTTATCAGGGACGAGGATTGCCAGGTGATTCCAGTGATTGAGGACGACGCAAATTCAGTGCTTCTTGAGGAAGAGGCTCGTTCGGCTTTGGCCATCGATTCAAAGCGTGAAGCATCCACAGATTCGACCAAATACTTTGTGACTGTGTCTCGAAGGGCAGGCCACCGGAGGCTTCATCTCGTAGGGTGCTTTGTGAAGCCTTCCAATTGCATGGAAGTTAGGATGACCAATTCGGTGACGGCTGAAGATTTCGATTCGGTTTGTCGTGCCTGCAGGAAGAAGATGCTTTCAGAGAACGGGAAAGAGACTCCAGAGGAGTCTAGTTCCACAGCTTCTTCGAGCTCCACGTGCGGCCGGGGGCTCGAGGACTAGCAGGTGGCGCCAAATGGTGCTCTAGGTATCTGCTGTTTCATGTCGTGGAAAACGGAACTTGCGTTGCCTCTTGAGGATCCCCCGAACTTGTTTTGTGCGGTGACTTTGGGAGCCTTTTGTTTTTTGTTTTCTTGTCTTTTGGTTTCGATGTACTCGATTTGCGCTTCTGGTTGATTGGCTTCGCTTTAGGTTTCTTGTGCTGTGTGTGAAATGAACTTGAATTTGCGGATTGTTTCAGGAGAACTTGCCCCTGACTTGAAGTGAAGGTGAATAAGGCTATTTTATGTCTACATCGGCTAGGCTGAAGAACCGAGGGTCAAAAGGTCATTTTTTGATCAAAAAGCATTGTTTGATCCCAGGTTGACGAAGACAGGGTCAGAGGACATCTATGAAATCAGTCTAGACGTTCGCAGACAACCAAGGGCTCAGGCCGTTGTCACGAGAGCTTGATGGGTGCAGTGGGGTCCACATGCATCAATTTCGATTTCATGAGTTTGGAACGTGATCTAAGGATATTTTATAGTTGTTCCCAATTCTGGAATACCACTTTGACAGTTGTTTAGACAACTGGGGCACAGGGTTTTGACCGCCCCCATCCGTGACGTGAGCGGTCATGGCAGCTGGAATGAGTGAAGCAGAGCAAAAGCAGTTTGTGTCAGACAGCATGGATTCAGATCTTCAGTTCGTACTGGCAGACTCAGGAGTGGCTTTAGAGAATCAGGTGGCGATTGCGCGCCATTATGGGAGCTTGAGGAAGTTCCGTGCCATAGGAGATTCCAGAGCTGAAGTGAGGAGAGCATGTCTTGCGGACTTTGCCATTCCGCAGGATACCCCAGGAGGTCGTTCTCAGACGGCCTCAGTTGTTTCATCGTGGGAGGTGGCTCAGGAATACATCTCAAAGGAGGTGGAAATACGAGCAGAAGCAAAAGTGCTCGGGCAACCATGTGCACTTCAAGTGCACGAGCGACAGGCTATGCTGAAGGCAGTGGAACAGGTGTATGGCGTTTTGCAGGAGGCTGAGTCACCTTCGTCAGACTACCTTTCAGTGAAGGCAGAAGAAACAGAGTCAAATGAACCTCAAGCAGCTCCCTTAGACGAAGTGACTAGCAAGAAAGATTCCACAACTTCAGGCATGCAATCAGGCCTTGATAGCTCAGGACATATTCGCATCACTCGGACGAAGACCAAGGCGAAGCTTCCATCGACCACTGAGGACTATCGTCGGGTCATGCGTGTTGAGATGAATGCTTGGTTGTGCATGGCTGCCAGGTACAAGGCGAAGGCTTGGCTTCATGGTTTGACTCCTGATCCTTTCAATCGTTTTGTCGACTACATTCTTGGGGATCGTGTTTACAACATTCAGGTTCCTTCTTTGCAGGGCGAAGGTCTTCAGAAGGTGAAGCCTGATTGGAGCATCATTTTAGCATATGAACACAAGTTGCGCAAGGAAGCATTCAAGCTGGTCATTCGAGAAGGGTTCACATTGGCTGATGCTCTCAGGTCAGTGATTCGTGACGCTGATTTGAAAAAGACATACTTCACCACACCCGTGGCACTTCGGGCCGCAATGGCTTCAGAGAGGCCCTCACCGAACAAGTTCCAGCGCACCGGATTCAAGGGTTTCGGCGACTCGAAGGGCAATTGGAAAGGCGCTGGCAAGACATGGAAAGGAAGCAGAGGCGACAAAGGTGGCAAAGGTGGCAAAGGTGGCAAAGGTGAAGTTCGTAAGGAGCTCCAGGGACTTCAGTTGGCTTGGAGGACACCAGACGGTCGTGATCTGTGCTTTGCTTACAATGCTGGCAGTTGTGATGGCAAGTGCAACAGGGTTCATCAATGTCGGGTGAAGGGTTGTTATGCCGATCATCCGGCTGTGAAGCACAAAGAGCTGGTGCCATCGTGACGGGAGGACGGGGCTCCTTCCCCCAGCATAGGGGCTGATCCGCGCGCTTTGCCTCTAGCTTTTTGTCCCGAGGTCAAAGTCATGTATTTATTTGCTGGGAAGAGGCGTCAGGCTGATGTGGGCTCTTGTTTAAACAAAATGCACTCAGAAGGCCGAATCGCTTTGCAGTTGATCGAATTCGATATCGAAAGGTCTGAGACACACGACTTGCGTAGCAATGATTTGTGGGATCAGATCAGCGCACGGTTGCGAGAGGGTGGTTGGTTTTTGATTGTCTCCCCTCCATGCAACACTTTTTCTCGCGCTCGCTTCCAGTGGCGCTTGCGCCCGGGGCCAAGACCCCTGAGGAGTCGCACTTGGCCTAAGGGATTTCCATGGTTATCTAGCTCTAATCAGGGCATTGTCAATGAAGCAACCGAATTCGTTTTGAGGTGTCTTGACGCGTGTTCCGTTGCCGTGCAACACGGCGGTTGGTTCTCGCTTGAGCACCCAGAAGACTTAGGAAGAGTCCATGATGAAGTGCCAGGTACAATTTGGCAGTGGGATGAAGTCCACAACTTATTTGCTTGGTGCGGAGGTTTCACTTGTGCCATTCACCAATGTCAGTTTGGAGCCCCTACCTCCAAACCCACTAGATTGATGACTAACTTTGAGCTGCATGATACACGCTGTCATTCAGGTTTTCCGCGCTTTGATCCCAGCTTTCGCTACTTGGGGCCACTCCCTAGGACTTGTGGCCATGTTCATGAGACCAAACTTGTAGGTAAGCAGAACGATCAATGGAAAACAAGCCCCAGCGCGGCATATCCTCCAGACATGTGTCAATTCATTGCTGAGGCCATTTTCGTTGCTGTCGCATCCTTCGGAGGGGGGAGCGAAACTGGCAAAAACGGCCCTTGCAAAACCGGTCCTTGTGTAGACAACACTAAGGTGACAGCTGCTACTGCCAAGACAAACGGTCCTTGTGTAGACAACACTAAGGTTCCCGTTGCTATTGCCGAGACAGAGGCATCACACACTCTTGCGGATTCGAATAAAGGTTTGAAGCCATCTCCTGTCACCCCACCACAAACTCCTGTCATTGATTTGACTTGTGACCCGCCTGTGCACGTAGCTTCACAAGGGAACGCACATCCGTCGACCCCGGCGGATGAAGTAGAATCTTTTGATTTGGAAGCGTGCTCAAATTTCGGCCACCCGATCAAAGTGGAGTGGGACGCTTGTGAACGTGATTTCATAGATGGGTTTGGACTTTGTTCTCCGACTAGCGGCCACCGGCCGCGAGGGGTAGGAGGCGCTCGGTAGCAATGAAACACTTGGCATCGGAGACCTTCTCCCTTCTCAGGGAGACTGTCCAGCAGTGCATACCAGATGTTCGGACCGCAGCCTTTGCGTTGGTAACGGGCAAGTACCAGACTTCGCCATTTGCTGGTGAACCTTTGGAGAGCCTGCGGGCTCGATGGGGAGGGCTCTTGGCAGATCCCGCAGATGCTCTGGTGATGGATAAGGATCAACCTTTTTTATTGCGGGGGCTAGCTCAATGGTTGTCGGTCTTCGAAGATCCAGATGCAGGGTGGCTTGTAGATGCTGAGGATTCTTTTGCCACAGGGGTCCCTCTAGGGGTAGATGCTCCTTTGCCAAGGTCACCGCAAGTGCAAGTGTTTCCGGAGAAAGTCAGGCATAGGAAACTTGATGATTCTGATTTCAACCCGGTCGCCTCTAACTATCCTTCCGCTCAACTTTCACTTCTGAGTTGGAGTCGAAATTTCGAGAAGAAGAGCTGTTGGGGCGTATGTTCGCATTCGGATTGCATCAATGGCAGCCATAGCTAAACCTGATGGTTCGGTCAGGCCTCTTCACGACGGAACTCATTCGGTGCAGGTCAATAACCGCATTGTCTATAAAGATCAGATTCAGTGTCCCGGGCCGCCGGAGGTGGCCTCAGTGGTGAGGGAATCGGTTGAGACTCGCGAGGCCCCTTTCTGCGTTTCGGCCGACATAAAGGCGGCGCATCGCCTCGTCAAGATTCGTCAGAAGGATTGGCCCTACATGGCTTGCAAGGCGGACTCGAACTCCTCCACTGTATGGGTCAACAAAGTAGGTACTTTTGGAATCTCTTCAGCACCGTACTGGTGGTCAAAGTTGTTCGCACTTGTTGGAAGATTCGTAGGCCATGTGATGGGCACCACGTGGTTCCTCCACCTCGTGTACGTTGACGACTTACATGGTTCGTTCACAGGTTCTTCGAAGTTTCTGCACCTTTGGATTTGGGTCCTCGCTTTCGAACTCGTTGGAACCCCTTTTGCTTATCGCAAGTTTCGAGGTGGCTTTGCTTCAGCGTTCGTAGGTTACCAAATGCGTTATGACTTGAACGAGGTAGGCATCTCGGTCCGTCGGGGTGAGTGGCTCACCAAGTGGATTAGGTCTGCGGAGGAAAAGAGGTTCGTGGTTGTGACTCGTGACTTCGCCGAGTTTCTTGGCAGACTGGGATTCGTGGCTCAGCTTCTGGTTTGGCTGAAGCCTCACCTAGCACCCCTCTTCGCTTGGTCGGCAGCCACTTCTGCCAGCACAGTTGCTAAGCTCCCGGAGGTTGTAATTCTCACCCTTAAGTATTTGCTGTCCGAGTTTTCGGTTGAGTCCTACATGGTTTCCGCTAGGAGGCCAAAGGTTTTCACAGGTGAACAATTCCGGACGGATGCAAAGTGCACGGACGACCAGGTTGTCCTCGGGGGTTGGGAAGTTTCCTCGGGTCGTTGGTTCCAGATTTGTTTAGACGAATCTAGTGCGCCCTACTTATTTCGTCCTGGAAAGGGGGCCCAGTGGGCCTCGACGTCAGCAGAGCTCCTGGCGACACTGGCTGCGTTAGTCGCATTTGGTTGGACAGGAGTGGCAAACTCTAGGAAGTCGTTAGAGCTTTGCTTGGCAGCAGGGACTGATAATAGGAGCAACGAGTGCCTTTCTGTGAAGCGTTCCACCACCAAGTTCCCCCTAATGTTAATAAATATGCAATTGTCTTCCGTGCTGTCCAGGGCACGAGTGGCCGTGAGGCTGAAGTGGCGCCCCAGGGAAGAGAACACGATTGCAGATGACATCACCAATTCGGTTTTCGATCAAGTCGATTTATCGAAGCGTATCACCATTAGTTATGCGGACCTTCCTGTTCAAATCATTCACGCACTTTACAAGTCCAAAGCAGAGTTTGACCGGGCGCGTGAGTCTCAGCGCACCATTGCTCGGTCTCAAGCACTTCGGGTGGCGGGCATGAAACGGAAGAGGGCTGACAAGACACCGTGGTGACCGGCCTGGTCGCCATGCGCTTCGTAGGGGGTGCGCAATCTCCTGGCGACCACATTACCACAGGAGACAGCACTCTTTCGTTGCATTCGTTCGTAGGGCCTGCAACT